GTAAACAACTGTATGGTAAACTTAGATGATTTATCCCCCTGGTTTTTACCTGGGAGTGGCCTTTTTAATATTTTATTTAAAAGAGGGCAGGTTTGGCACTTTTATACTGATGTCACCAATGTTAATATTTCTCGGGATCTCAGGAAGATTCATATTCTTTACAGCGGATACAGCACGGGCTGGAGCTCCTGCTAAGCCAGCCTGTATATAGAAGTAAATAAAAAAAAAAAAATATAACTCAGGCATAGCTCATCATAAAACACAATGGACAACACTGACAAAAATTTTTTTCACATAACAAGCTTAGAGACCACATGATAATTGAACTGGTATGAGATGGTTACTTTGATATCTAATCTATAAAGAGAAAAAAGCTGACACATTAAAAAATGGTGAAAACATGCAAAAACAATGTAGGATTTAAATACAAATTGTGTACTGCCTAGCTGTCACACATAATATCCACAAGACAAAAGCTAAATCTTTACCTATATCTTGTTTTAACTGATATATAATATGAACACAGGCATAATTTACATTAGTTTCCTTATTAAATATCTCATGTAGCAAATAGGACAGCTTTTTTCTTTTAAAATGGCATTTATTATCAATATGGCCATGAAATAAAAAACTGAAAGTAACAATAATACTTGCATAGTTTCTTTATCTAGGGATAAACCCGAAAAATATTTCAAAACAGTAAAATTAGTTTCTAAAACTATAGGGGTTCTTCTAAACTTTTTAAAGAAAGTTCCAAAAAATTTTTTTTAAATTAGGCTTTTAAGTGAAACCTCAATCCCAAGAGAACAGGTCTACCTGAAGATAAAGCTATAAGGCCATTTCAACCTTTAAATCCATTAGTAAATATCTAATTATTAAAATTGTTTCATCAAATAAAGTAGATTCCACAGCACACATTCAGTTCACAGTTTACAAATTTAGAAAAACAAAAATAAATGCTCTGAAAATTTCCAGTAAGTATCTAGTACGTAATATTTGGCTTTCCTCTTAATAGGAGAAATTTTTTGAATTTTAATTTGTCAAATAATTTTGTAATAAAATATGCTTAAAATAAAAATGCATGTATATATATATATAAAATTTTTCTGAAACAGTTAATACTAATAGCCTTCATATTTAGATATAATTTATACTTCAATAAGATTTCATCACTTTATATAGTTAAAAAAGAATTTCAACACTTTTTAAATAATAAAACAAGCCAACAAATACATCCAAATTCACTAGCATCTTTCACCAAAGCAGACAAGTAATAAAAATAAATTGTCCATTTGTTCAGATTATTCATATAAAAGACAGTATCTGTAAAATTAGAAATCTGTAAAATTGAAGTCCTTTTTCAAAATTTTAATTTTCTTTTATGTAATCCTACCTTTCGTTAATTAAAATATTAGTAATAATAAAGCTGTTACCTGAGAAAAATCTTGACTGATACAAAATAGGCCAGTGTAAACTATTTGCTGAATAAAGGATACAAACATTGTTAAGCAATGAAATAAAAGCCATGGATTATCAATTCTGAACTGGAACAGAAAAACTGGTAAAATAGTATTATAGGTATGGTGCACATAGGCAACAGGAAGACTGATATGAATGAAAAACTCCAAACCCAAAGAAAGATTACATAGGGCTGGAGAGTTCAAATTTTATAATTTAATGGAGGTTAGTTGTTTTTGATGTAAAACTAAAAATATGACTGACTTCTACATTTATACCTACCTGAATTAATGAAGTTTATGCTATATCTCATTTCTCTCCTGCTCCCCCAAAAGAAGTTAAAGATACAACTGACTATTATTTTGGGTAACATGTTTCACATTCAAAAAGTTCTTCAGTTTGATCATTTTAAAAGTCCAGATATCATTTTAGAATGGTTTGGGATCAGTAAGAACCCAGTTTAAAAAGGTTTACCATTTTATAAGCTTTCTCTTCCCAGAGAAAGTATGTTGTCTGACAAGGGAATAAAACTTATTTTACAGAATTTCAGACATAATAGAACTAGCACAACTTTTCCAGAAAGGTTTTTATAATTTTTCTAATTGAAAAATCAATTTACCATTACTTTCACTTCAGAGCTTTGATCAAGTAAGTGGACTATAGAAAAGTATTCATAAAATATTTGACCATATGTTAAATGTTACAAGTTCTCAGGTTTTTTAAAAATTTATTTTAGAGAGTGAATTGTGTTTCTGCTTATTTTACTGAATCCTATGGTTTATATTTATAAACTAATGAACATAATTCTTTTAGTGTTAAATTGTATTTGTCATGAAGTTTTACTTTCCCTAATTCCCTGTACAAGGTACAGTTGCATTAAGCTGAAGCAAGGAGAATGAAAACAAAAATTACATTTTATTAAATATCATTAATTAAATTCCTTTTTGACCAAAGATGTCAAATGTTGGTCACTTTTAGGCTTTTAAGTCAAATAATTCTGCTAGTCAGAATAAAGTCAAAATAGCAACTGATTTAAATAGCATATATGTGCCTTATTATGTGAAACTATAAGTTTCTAAATGCACACAAAAATCTATAATTCCTCTGAAGGTAAGCAGCAAGCCATAGACATGCAAAGGATGGGAACTATTTAGAACACGCAAATGAATTTAAATTGAATCAAATTATTTCTCAAGCATGTCCAATACTTTTGTGTAGTTCATCACAAATTTAAGTAGTGGGATATTTCTAAATTGAAATATGTAATTTAAGTTTAATAAGGCTAACATTTTAGAAAATCAGATTCTGCAGAATATAAAAAAGGGAAAAAATGAGGACTATGATCAATAAACAGATGATTAAATGGGGAACAATGTTTATATATAAAAACTATGGCTTAACATGCTCTATGTTACTTGGGTAACACAGCAAATGGTTACAAAGTAAACGTCATTTTCAGACTCCCATGAAAATAAAAGTCTGAAACACTTATATTGAAATATAAAATGAAAAAGTGGTTATTTTCCATTAGGAAATCAATCTGCTGGAGTAAATTTTTATCTTGGTTAAGATTTTTTTTCAATAAAGATATACTCAAAGCAACAAGATAACTTTTGCTTACTCAACTTTTTCAATACTAAAATTTTCTAAATTAAGTTTACCTGACCTGACAGTAATACATACAATTTAAAAATGTAAAATAATGTGTTCCTAAAAAGACAACATAGTTTTTAAGCATTTAAAATTACATAGTTGTTACAAAGCAAAATATGAAGAATGCAATTCTACTGGAGAAATAACTTGTTTCCATCTATGTTATACTTGATCACTACTATGGCAGGTAGACTGCAGCAATTCCACTAACAAAAAGAAATATATGAATCCAAAGCAGTTAAAGAGGGTGAACTGGATGGAAGAATGAAGTACAGTATATAAAAGAATGGTCATGTTTTCTCTCCCATGAGATTAAATTAACAGAATTAAGAGAAAGAAAACAAAATGAAGTCTGCAAGTATACCAAAATGAGGCCAAACAGATAGAAGACTTATACAGACATACTCTTGGGAATTTCAAGCACTCAAATCACAAAGATAGTAATGGATGGATATGATTTGGTTTTGATTTCATTTTTAAATTGCCAGACCCAAAAATAAACAAAATATGTGCAAGCAAAACTGAAAAAGCAGCACTGCTAAAATATATTTCAAAGAACCTGAAAACTCCCTTTCCTCATGCAATAAGCAATTAACTTTCTAGAAGGGAAATGGAAATTAGCCATCTATTTCATGTAATTAAATATCATCTTACCATCTTAAAATATTTTCATCAAGCTAGAAATATTACATAAAAGATGGTAGTTGGAATAATTTTACATACTTAACCCTTCCCTTGCCCTTTCTGGTGCAAGTTACTCTATGCACAGTGATAATTTTGATCTAACAGCAAGTGAAAGAATGCCAACATTAATAAATATGGTATTAAATGGTTTCAGACTCAAAATCTTTAACAAAATGATAGCAGATTTTCAACGTATATTTTTCAGTATTTTAATTTCTGAGTGGAAGGCAGAGTAATTTTTAATCTGAGGATCTGCAATAGGCTTGTTCTCTGCTATAAAGGCAGTGCTTCAATGCTGCAATTATACACACATGAAAATGTTGATGACAATCTTCCAGTGAGTAAGAACTTTAGTACCTTACGAACAATTTTATCAAAATTAGGATGTTCAAAAATTTTAAAACCTTAAGATGACCTGTTACTTTATACATTATCTTTGGTTATACTTTTAACTTTTAACAAGATTTTTCTGTGTGAAACACACAGACTAATGACATTCCTTTGCTAGAAAATAGCAATTCAATATGAACTAAATACTGGAACGTAGAAACTGGAAGCCCATCAACACCGTGAACTAGATTACTACACATTCCATTTCAAGGGTATACAGGAACCACAAATGGTAGCCTAACTTTCTTATACAGTCCATAATTTCTGAATAAGATATACAGCTAACTGGATGTTGCTCTTTCTCAAATCCAGAGTAATAATATAGTGACTAAAAACCAATCCTAACTTCTGAGATTTTAAAAAATTACTCAAACAGATAATTGATTATATATATATATATATATATATATATATATATATATATATTCTCCCCCTCTACAGGAGTCAAATTTTTACCTAGAAAATTTTTATCGGAACCTCACAAGCATTTTTACTCTTTTCTAAGGTGGCTTTGTTAAATAAAAACTACTTGTCACAATCTACATGGAATTTTTCAAAAAGGAATTCACTACATTAATTTGTGGCATGAAAACACAGAAAAGAGAAAAAAATTTATAAAGCTAGAAACCTATTAAAAATACAATATTTGCCAATATTCTTTGCAAAACTGTTCAGGTTTTACAATATTTAATTGATTCTGCTTATAACATATTTAAATGTCAGGTTTGTTACAGTACAAATTCATTAAATTTGGGTCAATATATTTATTTTTAAAGAACTTAATTCAAGGATTAGAATCTGATCTTCTATCTTGTTGGTCATTATTAATATGCACATGCAGGTCAAAGCTATAAACACAATTCTGTTAAGACTTTGGAACTGAAAACCATTTTGAGGTGGTGAGTACACTCTATTTCAGTCATTATTATAACTAAGTTTTTATTAAGTCCCATTTTATATATAAAACTCTAAAGGTTCAGCTTTTGGTTTTTAAAAGATTCCAAAACCTAATATTAGAGATTTTATGTTAGAATTCTAATTTAGAGACAGAAAAAAAAATCTAGAGATGAAGAGTTGCATATTGTCATTTGCACAATTTGCCAGTTAAAATGACAATTTTTAAAAAGAAAGAACAAAAATTTAAACTTTCCTTTTACAATGCAGGCAGACAAAACAGAACAAACATGACAATCAATGATATACTACTAAAATACACTAAGTCCAATAAAAGATGAAGAAAACTACAGGAGGAACTAGAATGAAAAATAGGCTACAGGGACTATATGGGTTCATTAACACAAAGAATTTTTGAGTCTGGCCTAAATAATTAATTGCCTTTGACATCATTTTGCTTTCCCTTTGTTAAAGTACATTTTTTCTCAAAGTCAGCAATACCTTGTCTACCTGTCCTGTCTGGGAGACTGAAAGATAAAGGTCTGTAAGAGAGAAGAATGGAAAGAGCTAAAAAGATCAGGATGTTCAGAAAAAGAGGACTGACTTTTAAAAAGTAGTGACTGAATTCAGACCCATTTATCCATCTTAAAAATAACATGAAATACGTAAAAGCTAACAACTCTCCCCATTCTCCCCCTACCTCCACCCTCCCCCTCCCCCAGTCATCTTTATATTTAGGCAGATTCATGGATGCTTCTTAAAATTTTCCCCAAATCCCACCAATCAACCAGCTAAGGCCTCCACACCAAGATCCCATGCTATAGTAAATCACTTGCTATCCAAACAGACTGAAAGAAAATATATTTGGAGCAAAACTTTCTCCTTTCTTTGAGGATTTGGTAGCTCTTTGCTTGCCTCTACCTGGGTGCTGAATTAATTGGTGTGTCATCATTCATCTCTGAAAATGTACTACCTTTAACATAATACAATAAAATCTTTGATTTCTGACAGGCACCTAGATAAATCCACACATTTTAAAAGCTGTACCTTAATTATATTTAGACTGACTTTTTAAAAGGTAAATGCTACTCTTACTACTTACACAAGTTTAAAAATGTAATAATCAGTTTATGAACAATGACATTCATGATTTTAACTGTTTTTATGTTTTTACTTTACGATGTCTTGTATCTTGCTCTCAAATAACTGCAGATTACTCTACAAAGTCAGATTTCTAGGAGATTTAACTAGTAACATGGAAATGAAAAGCGTATGAAAAATTGATACTTTACAACTGTTTAGAATAAATCGGGTGTGGTGGCACACTCCTGAAATCCCAGCACTTGGCAGGCTGAGGAAGAAGGATCCTTGCAAGGTCCAGACCAGCCTGGGCTATAAAGTGAGATCAAAGCCAGCTGAGATACATCTCAAGAATACAAAAAAATCAAGCCCCCTAAAAAAAAAAAAAAAAAAAAAAAAAGCTGGCAGGCTTCCAAACATAAACTATGTGATGATTTCTAAAAAAATGACACAAAGTTAATATAATTTTCAAGACTATTCCTTAAAATATGAACATAACTAAGTTCACTTTGAGAAACACCTGAAAACATAATTTTGTGGTTTATCGCCAAGCTGATTAAAACGTACCTTCTTATAAGGTACAGAGAAAAAAAAAAAAAACTAATTTGGTAACATAACAACTGATCATACATGTTTAAAAGATGATCAGTGGGTGAATAATAGAAGCATTCAGCAGTACTATAAACTATTTAAATAGTACTGTTTCTGTAAAAAGTTCTTAAACTTTAGTAATTTAATAAAAAGAATTCTGCATTTTACAACTTGCTTGCCTGCCTGCTGGTTTGCTTCCTTCCTTCTTTCCTTCCTTCCTTCCTTCCTTCTTCAACAAGGTCTCCTGATGCAGCCCAGGCCAACCTTGAATTCTTGACTACCTCAGCCTCCCAAGTGCTGTGATTACAAGTATGTGTCTTATGCCCAGCTTACTCTGATTTATAGATAAGAATATGTCACATTAATGAAGTTTTACTGGACAATCAAAAAGAAAATATTCATAATGCACTTGTTACACATCCTTCGTGACTTCTGTAAGTACTGTATATAGCACACTAAGGAGCAAAGGGAAAAAAGGACCACCACCAAAGAAGGAGGCAAGCACCTGGAAATGGGAAAATTGCAAACAGCTGGTCAATGTATTTGTACTGATGACACAAATTCACAAATGATCCACTTTAGACTTTAGATATCACTACACCTTGGCATTTGAAATCTGTAACTAAAATGTGAATATATTTAAAGTTATTTTAAGACTTTATGGCTTAGACTTATAGTTTACCTTTTATTCTACTACATATATTATACATTGCCTATCCTAAATAAGTCATTTTTCTTAAGTAACATTTTCTCCAGTAACCTTTGTTTTCCCTTTCAAAAATTAGCTATAAAACATTAAAAACATACAGTATAGTTACTTAAAATAGTCCTAAGTTTCACCTCTTCCTCACCATTAGAAAGCTTTCCCTTGAGAAACCAGTAAGAACAGGAAATCAGGATATGGGAAGTGTTTATAGAAAGTTTCTAACCCTATTTTCAGACTTATTCATCATTATGTATTTCCTTCAATTCAAATAAACATAGAAATGTGTCAACAAGATAAAAAAATTGAGAACTCCCTGTAGTAAATATTATATTAATACACTGCTTTTTTATAGTACTATGTATTCTAAAACAACCAAACATCTGACTTCATGCTATAATCAAATGTTTTACCAATTTTAGTTATAAGCATAAATAACAAATATAACAATACCCTCAAATAAGGACAGCAACAAGTGACTTATCAAGAAAATTCACCTTTTAAAATTCTGTTATGATAGAAACAAATGTAATATCAACTTAAGTGGTTCAGTCTAGTTCTTGAGGCAAGAGTCATTAAAATTTGAAAGTAGCGTATCATATAACAGGAAAGTTTTAGTGTCTGTAGTTAACCATTCTAACACTAAATCTAAGACCATAAAGTATAAAAACAAAATATTTTTACCTGAAGACTGTAATAAAATAACAAATATATGTATTAATGTACAAAATATGTGACTCAACTATCTTATCAGTGACTTAGGGGGACAATCCAGAATTAAAAGATAGAGATACTGAATTTCCCTTTTCAATATACACTAACACTTACTAAGCATTATAGTAACTTAAACATTACTCCCTCAACAATTTTGGGTTTTTCTCCTTTCCTTTTCCTAAAACAAAATATGCAACTCTGTTTATTACCTAAGGCAGTGACAGTTGTCGTTAGAAGAATATATAAAACTTTTTGGTGGAAAATACTCATAATTTAACATTACTTAACATATAACATACTAAAATATGCATATTTCATTTTTAAAAACTAAGCAGCTGTTCCTAAGAGGCAATACTGAATGACAAACAGTGAAAGATATAATCATGCATCTTTTATGACCATACTTAGAACCTTCTGTAACTAAAGCATTTTCCTTTCTTACCTCAGATTTCTCCAGTTTATTTTGTGCATCAATTTGTGTAACAATTTCATTCATATTGGTCTCCAATACCATTCCCCCCATCACCATTTCTGCAAGAATATTGTGAACCTAAAGGAAAAATATAGTATAAACACACAAAGAAAACTGATTATAAGAAGTTTCACATTTCAGTAGATTTTAGTTTACATACTGCTTTTGTTAGTATGAACAGTAAAAATAATTTGGAGTGAAGAATCATAATTTTCATCATTATTGTGATGCTGTAGGCAGTTATGTGACCTCTTTAAGTCTTACTTCAATGGGCTGAAAAACACAGGGAATAGTAACTTCTTCATAGGACTGTTCAAAGATTAAATGATGTACTTTCTGAAAATAACCAAAGTAATTGATAAATATTAACAACAGTAATTCCTCCTTTATAATGTCAGTGCCTACGGTTCCAATTACTTGCAGTCATATCTGGTCTTAATATATTAAATGGAAAATTAAAGCAATAAATAGTTCCTAAGTTTTAAATTTCATGCCTGATGAAATTTTAGGTACCCAAATCTGTCTTGTTCAGGATATAAACCATCCTTTTGTTTAGTGTATATACACTGTATATACAACTTGCTTGACAACATGACGACTCCATCACCCAAAATGAATGCTTCTTTTGACAGAAAGTCAGTAGTAGCCTATTGCTACATCATAATGCCTCTATCATTCACCTGAATTCATCTCATTGAATTCATCTCATTTAAACACTGTATTATTTCATATTACCATAAAAACTGGGACAATAAGATACTTTGAAAAAGAACCAACCACACTCATGTAATTTTTATTACGGGTATTGTTAGAGGTGTATTATTTTACTATTATTGCTATTAACCTCTTACTGTTGCTTCTTTATAAATTAAGCTTAATTATAGACATATATGTCTATGGAAAAATACAGGAAAACAGGGTTTGGTGCTGTTCAAGTTTGGATCTGCACTGCCCCTCAAAGGTTCATGTGTCAAAAGCATAGTTGTCAGCCTGAGGTGCTACTACTGGTAGGAGGCAGAACATCTGATAGCCAGGCATACTGGGAGGCAGTTGAATCACTGAGGGTGTGTCTCTGAAGGGGATATTGAGATCTCAGTCCTGTCATTCTCTCTGATTCCAGGCTACCATGAAGTGAACAGGTCTCCTCTATCATATATCTGTGCTATGATGTAGTGTAGCCAAAAGAAATAGGACCAAGTGACCATTTACAGACATTTTTAAAATAATGAGCCACAACAGATTTTTCCTCTCTTGAAGTTAATCATCTCAGGTATTTTGTCAGTGAGAGAAAGCTAACAGGTACTATTTATAGTGTCAGACATCCACTGAGGGGTCTTGGAATACATCATCCTTGAATAAAGGCAATTACCGGACTGGAGAACTATTGTACCATTATTATTGTAACATCAAAACAATATGATGTCAAGTTTAAAACTCAAAATGACCCATAAGGGCTTTTTGTACCAGATTCTTAGTCAACAACTGATAAGTTACAATTTTAAACTCAAGGTACTTAACAAAGCAATGCAGCACTTTCAACAAACTTTCAACAGTAAAAATAAGTTTTCTTTGTATGTAACTACTTTAATAATGCTTTTACCCCAAACTCTCTCTGTATGTACTACTCATACAACTTTTAAAAAGAAAAAAATTGAAACAAGGTAATAAGACTAACAAAGGTTAATACAATGCAAACTGTTATCTTTACTCAGTACACAATACCGACATTTAATTGTCCAAGTATTAGCACGAACCTTTCTTTTCAGTGAACAAGAAATCAATACTTTAACTGTCTTATCTTTTTTTTTCCTTTTTGTTTTTCCCTTCTTTCTTTTCTCCATTCCCTCATCCCAGTTTCTCTTTCCCTTAAGTTTCTTCCCATTTTACAATATGTACTGTACATTTTGGATCTTATTTGCCCTTGCAGCTTCTTATACTAAGGAGACAATACAATGTTTGCATATGTGAGTATGGTTTATTGCACTCAGGAGTATGGTCTCCACTTGTATATATTTACCTATAAGTCTCCAGTTTGTCCTTCTGTAGGGATGGATAGTACTCCATAATACAAAAATATTACATCTCTTTTATCCATTCCTCAGTTGACAGGCATGTGAGTTGTTTCCAAGATCTAGCTATTACAAATTGTGCTGCTATAAACATGGATGCACATATATTGCTGTGGTAGTGTTGACTCTTTTGGAAAGATACCCACAAAGGGAATAGCTGGGTCAGGTGAAACCTCCAGTCCTAGTTTGATGAATCTTCACACTGATTTCTGCAGTAGTTGTACTAGTCTACACTCCCATCAACAGTTGGACAGTGTTCCTTTATTCCCGCAGCTTCTCCAGCATTTGTTGTTGATTTCTTAAAGATAGCCATTCTTGCTGGGGTGAGATGAAACCTCAAGCATTCTTCTAATTTGCATCTCTAGAATGACCAATGATGTGTTCAACACTTTTTCATATATTTAATTGTTGTATTTCTTCATCTGAAAAGTGTATATTTATCTCAGATGGCCATTTTTAGATTGGATCTTTAAATTTGTGAGGTCTAACTTTTTTGAGTTCTTTAAACATTCTCAATAGTAATCTTTTGCCTGAGGAACAGCTAACAAACGTTTTATTTTCCAACACTGTGGGTTATCTCTTCACTCTGTTGGTAGTTTCTCTTGCTATGCAAAAACTTTTTAATAAGATAAGTTTCCAGTTGGTGAGATATATATATATACTTTGCAGTACTGGGGATTTAACTCAGGCCCTTGCACTTGCCAGGCAGGCACTTATTCTACTGAGCTATCTCCCTGGCCCCTTAGTTGTTGATTCTTTGTGATAGTTTCAGTGTGATCAAGGTTTCATGCATGAAATCTTTGACACCAATGTTTTCCAGCATGTTACCTATTCTATAGTCTAGGAAATTGAATGTTTGTTTGCTTTACCATTTAGATCTTTGATTCATTTTGAATTTAGTTTAATGCATGGTGAAAGATATGGATCCAATTTTAACCTCTGACATGTGGAGCCATTTTTTCGAGCATCATTTACTAAAGAGGTTTTTGTCCAGTGAATGTGCTCGGCACCTCTGTCAAAGATATGGTGACTAAGTATGTCTGGAGTTGTTTCTGCATCTTCTAGTCTATTCCACTGATCTTTGGGTCTTGTTGTTGTTGTTGTTAACATACTGTCTTTATCACGGTAACTTTATAGAATGATTTCTATACTATGTGATGCCCCTGCCTTGCCTTTGTTGCCCAGAATTGCCTTTGTTATTCTAGGTCTCTTCTGGTTCCAAATAATTTTAGGATTTTTTTCTCTAATTCTGTGATATATGCTATTGGAATTTTGATGAGAACTGCATTAAATCTGTATAACAGTTTTGAAAGTACAGCCATTTTCACTACATTTGTTCTTCTTGCCCAAGAGCTTCTTGTCATCTACCCAAGAGTATCCTGTTATCTGAAAATAATAACTTCTCCCTTTTCTACTATCATTCCTTTTATGTGTCTAACTACTCTGGCTAAAGTTTCCAGCACAACATTGAGTAAGAGTGGAGACAGTGGGCATTTCTGTCTTTGTTCCTGATTTCTGAGAGAAAGTTTTCAGATTTTGTCCATTTAGTAAGACATTGGCCATTGGTTTGTCATAGATAGCTTTTGTCAGACTGAGATACTGAGATAAAGACCATCTATTCCAATTTTCTGTAGCTTTTTATTTTTTAACATGAATGGTTGCTGGACTTTATCAAAGCTTTTTCTGCATCTATTGAGATGATCATATGATTTTTGTCACTGGTTCTGTTAATATGGTGTACAATATGGCGTAATATTTACTGCTTTACATATATTAAACAATTCCTGAATCCACGGGATGAATCCCACTTGGTCATGGTGTATAACCTCCTTGATGATTTGCTACATTCTGTTTGCCAATATTGAACATTTTTCCATCTATGTTCATTAGGGAGACTGGCCTATAACCAACTTTCTTAGTTGGATCCTTCTTTGGTTTTAGTATTAGAATAATGCTTGCTTCTAGGAATGAATTTTGGAATATTGCTTCTCTTTCAATTTCATTAAAGAATTTAAGAAGTAGTGGTTAGTCTTTTAAATTTGTTCTAGAATTCAACAATAAATTTGTCAGAAACTGGGCTTTTCTTTGTTGGTAGGTTTTTAATTACATCTTCGATTTCATTGACACTAGTTTAGTTATTTTTAATCCTGATTCAGCTTTGGTAATTTATATGTGTCTAACAGCCTGTCCATTTCATCTGCATTTTCCATCTTATTAGAATGTAAGTTCTCCAAACAGGTATAAATAATCTACTGGATGTCCTTTTTTAAAAAAATTTTATTTGGTACAGGGTATCAGCTTGGACTATGCAGCTTGGACTCACAGTGATTTTCCTGTCTCAGCCTATCCAGCACTGGGATTACAGGTGTGTGCTACCACTTTGAGTGACTGGCATGGTGCACCTATGGTTCCGGGGCCAGCATAGCATGCAGTATTGGAGATCAAACCTGAGTCCTTGTGCCTTCCAGGCATGCGCTTAGACCACTGAGCTATTTCCCCAGCCTCTACTGGATTTCTGCAGGGTCACTGTGATGTCACCATTTTCATTCCTAATTGCGTGGGTGTTGAGTTTTTTCTTTCCTATTCTTAATAAGGTTGGATAAAGGTTTGCTGATTTATTTAACAATTCAAGTAACCAACTCGTTGATACACCAATTCTTTGCATTGCTTTTTGGTCTCCAATGTTAATTTCTGCTCTTATCTTAACAATTTCCTAAGTTTTTGGTTTAGCCTGCTCTTCTTTTTCTAGAAGCTTGAGGTTCACCATTAAATTGTTTATTTGTCCTTACTCTGTTTTCCTGATATGGATATTCACTGCTATAAGTTTCCCTCTTCAGACTGCTTTCATTGCATACCTTAAGTTTTGGTATATGGTGTTGTCATTATCATTTAATTGTAGAAACTGTCTAATTCTTTACTTTTACTAATTCTTTACTTTTATCTGTGACCCACTGGTTGCTCAGGAGGGTACTATTTAATTTCCATGTGATATGAAGTTCTTGTGGTTTC